CATAACAACACTTGTTTACAGTCTGCTGCTGCTCAGCATCACCTGTTAAATGACGACAACAAAAGTTAAGCATTAAAAATGCAATAATAACTAATAAAAACTATCAAATCCAATATAAAAACTAATTAAAACTGAATTAAAATAAAAAAGTCACAACAAAATCAAACTAAACTATAATGAAAAATCCAAAACTGTTATAACCTTGGAAGTAAGACCCGGCTTCTGGATCGGGACTCAACAGATCCTGATGTAACCTGCAGCTGGTTCCTCCTTCAGGCTGGAGCTGGAGAACCGTCTGGCAGCTCTGGAGCAGCAGGTGGCGCTGCAGGCCGCTGCAGACCAGGCCCTGAAGGAGGACTGGGAGGAACGGGTCCACAGTGCCGAGCAGGGGGAGCAGTCTGCTCGCAGAGAGCTGCAGAACCTGAGGTCGGCCCGCTTTAGATCCAGAGCTTCTGGACTTAGTCTTCTCAGGGTGTCCATGGGTCCTTAAACATCCTTAAAGCCCTAAATTCACAAATCTAAAATTAAAACCTTTTAAAGTCTTAAATTTGACTAAAAACTGCAGATACCCTGAGTTCTCTTCATGGTATCATGGTGTCATGGTTTCATGGTGTCATGGTGTCATGGTGTCATGGGGCGGCTGTGGCGGAGTGGTTAGGTGAGTCGTCCTGGNAGCAGACCACCACACCTGACCACCACACCACCACAGCAGACCACCACACCTGACCACCACACCACCACAGCAGACCACCAGACCACCACAGCAGACCACCAGCAGGCAGGAAACTCCGACACAAACTGGTCTCAGAAACAGGAAGTGAAACTTAAGAAACAAATTTTCTTTCTGATCTGATTTAGTTTCATTTATTCAAACTTTAGTTTTTCTTCAGTCAAATTTAAAACTCAGTTTATTTTATTTTGAAGGAAACTAAATGTATCAAATAACATTAAAGTATTAAAGCTTTCAGCTCTCAGGGTCACAGGGGGTCTTAAGATTTAAACTAAAACTGTGCAAAAGTTTAGAGTTACTCATCATTTTATATTTTTCTTCTAAAAAGCCAGAACTGCTGGTTTAAAACCTTTGCCCTGTAATCTGGATTAGATTTAATCTTAAAGCAGTTTTCAGTTTAAACTATTGATTAAAGAAAAATATCCAGATGTTTCCAGATGTGATCAGTTGTCAGACTGTTTGTTGTTTCTGTGTTTTCTCTGGATTCTTCTCCTGTCAGCAGAAAAGCTGCACTCTGACCTGTTTTCTGTCTTTGTGCTTCAGATTGAGAGCCTGAAACACGCTCATCAGCTGGAGCTGGCCCAGCTCAGACTGGACTGTTCTCGCTCCACAGGGGAGCTGGAGCGACACAGAGACTCTCTGCAGGGACAGCTGGACGGTACGGAGCTGAAGACCTGCTGTTAGACCTGAGTCCAGCCTCAGAGCTGAACCTGACTGTTTCCTGTGGGCCTCAGCTCTGCAGGCACAGCTGGAAGTTCTGACAGCAGCTGCTGAGCAGCACCAAGAGCTGCTGCTGGAGAAGGACAGGGAGGTGGTCCGGAGGGTCCGCTCCACTCGGGAGGAGGAGCTCCGCAAGACGGTGACCCTGCATGAAGAGAAGTAAGCAGGTCATTATAGTTAACTAAAACTAACTAAAACTAACTAAACAACAGCAGGTTATTATAGTTAATTAAAACAAACTAAACAACAGCAGGTTATTATAGTTAACTAAA